AGCTATGAAGGATGTTTTGCGCCCCGGAGAGGAAGAAGAGGAATGGGAGGCAGATGGAGAGGAAGTGGGGGCGGATCAGATGGGGGCGGAGGAAGTGGGGGAAGTGCATGAGCATGATGCTGGTGACTCAGAGCAAGCCGTCAGTGGTCCTCAAACTCAACGACGAGGTGCATGGCGTCGACGTCCCTTAGACGATCCTAGGATTTCTTGCAGCGATCAGGCTACCGCAATCATTGCTGAGCTCGCAGCCGCACATTGTCTCTCTTCTATTCACGATCCACTTCGATGGCTGCAAGATATTGGGAATTTTGTGCAAGTCCCATCTGTGGACGATGAATCTTTGTTATCACTGGTGGTGAGGTGTAGAGGAATGATGGGCAAGGACATTCGTATCAATTTCATGATCATGATTAATTTCATGACGCTTGTTTGTAAGTGTCAGAGGTGCTGCCATCTAGAATCTTCACTTAGCTCGATTAAATGACACATTTGAAAGCATCCGCCTCAAGACAGGCTTACACCTGAAAGGGATTTATGAGAATGAAGTCAAAGACCGCCCTTCAGAGACGAAGGTCACTTATCGCACTTTTTTGGAGTGGCATGCTACTGGTAGCAAGTTCATTGCCATCGCATGTGGTGGCTCCATATATGCTTTAGTACTCATCGCAGGCCTGGTCTTAGAGTGTCATCGCATCCATGGTTGGAACCACGCACTTACATCTAGCAGACATGCTACGATCACCTCCAAGGGGTAAGCGGACCTTTTGTCTTGGGCGATCAGACTACTAACCATGTATGTATAGATTCTCCTCAAAGAAGAAAGCTGATTCTTGAACGCATTGTACCCACCATCGCACGCATGCGACTCTCCCATCCCTTCAGTATGACCTCAATGTTCTCTCGCGCTTTGATCGAGAGAGATTCTCCATCTCAAAGGATATCGACTGCACGGACTTCTCAGCATCTGATCGGTTTTTTGATGCCATTATCCAAAAGTGCGTATATGGCATATTCATATGCGATCTATTGACTAACACAGTCAAATTTTAGCGCATTCACACCACTCCATAGAAGTGGACATGTTTGGCGCGCTTGCATTGCGCCTGTGCCAACTGATCTTCAAAGGCTGCCCTTACACACTGTCAATCACAGTGAGCTCTATGGTGTAGGTCGTCCTTATAGTCCACCCATTATCCGACATCGAGGAGGACGAGATCGCGCATGTTGTCATTGACACAGCGTTTGATCCATCATCAGCTAAGAACAAGTGCTTCAAGCCTCCTCGCGACAAGGTCCTGAACACTAGCTGTAGTGCGGCGGAGAGGTTACGAGCAGAGGGGGTGAAAGGGTGAAAAGCCTGGAAGACTACGCAACAACGGTGGGTGTGCAAGTTCCGATTGCCAATCGTACTTATCTTGTCAACAGCTCAAAAACTTTCTATCGCAATGGCGTCAAGAAATTACCTGGTGCATACTTACTAATCTCAATGCAGATCATGCCAAAGTACGTATCTGGCTCTCCCACACTGCTCTTGCACACTGAACTCTGGTCAGTCACCACCTAGATCTTCGAAACAAGGATGGGTCGTTGATGGCGTTTGTATCTACTGCACTTCCCACCCACATACGCGCTTCTCTGGAAGTCAATTTACTGGCTGCACTCGGAAATGCAGACTTGCTTGGAGATATGGATACGCGCTTGCCTGGAGGTAGACCTTTCCAGGCTATGCACCTCTCTTGGTACAATCGCCATTGTACATCGGTAAGCTAGCGCACATGGACTTATCAGTATTTTTGTTGTTAATATAATACTAGGGCCTTAACGCTCCAACAGACGTTCACCTTGGCTGCTAGAGAAGGAAGGAATGCGCACAAACCATGGTCAAGTTATTCCCCTACATATCCCAGGACTTACAACCAGCACAGACTCGTATACGGAACAATCTCAAAGGTTGTACGGGGAGTTATTTGAGTGGGTAAGACAGTTGGTAAGTTCGGGTGAAATCTGCGTAGCATCCAAGCGCTAAATTGTTTCAATGGTAGATGGAGAATTACCTACAAGAAGAGTTCGAAATGCTGATGGAGGTCGCCTCAGTTTTGCCTGGCAACGCTCTTCCCCCTGTTGTTCCTTTCATTTCTCTAGTGATCAACATCAATGTTCGCACCAAGCTCATAGAGACAGCGGTGATCGTCATCTATGTTTGGTGATTACCTATTGGACACTTTGAGGGGGGGCCTTGTGCTTGTTGGAGAATGGGCTAGTTCTGGAGTTGCGCAATGGTGACATAGCTATCTTCAGATCTAGTGAGGTAACCCATTTCAACCTAGACTACAGGGGGGGGAGGGCGTCCTTGGTTTTCCAGACTGACAAGGAGTTTGCATCATGGATTAGGAATCAAAATGGATGGTAGACAACAATACTATGCATTCTCTTGTATAACTTACACTAGAATTGCAATGCACCAGATTCTGTAGACCTTTTTGTTACGTTACAAATGCATGGTCTCATATAAGGCAGGTTACATTTTTACACGAACCACTTTTCTCACTACTACCCTATCATCACTATGCGAGTTGAAAGGCAAAGGCAAAAGACCGCCTTCCCCTACTTCCTCAGCTCCTCCTGCTAGTAATAAGGCAAGACAAAAGCAAGCAAAGTTATAACTGATGACCAGTATGACGAATTCCTGAAGTTTCAAAGCTCAAAAAAAGAAGGAAGCTGAACTCAATCGTCGCAAAGGTTAGTGATGCTTTTCACTAATGTAATGATATTCAAATGCTAACTAATAGAGCATTGAATTAGGTTTGAGGAAAGAATGTTGACGCCATGCTAGATGAAGAAGAGGAGTAATACTGAGCATGAGATTACGGGAGCATAACAAGAAGGAAAAAAAGGTGCGTAATCAACACGATTTTGTGTGTATGATAACATCACCCATGATATAGTGAGCAAAGAAGGCCAAAACCTATGGACCACAGATGAAGAAGTAGAAGACGATGCCAATCCTGATGATATTTTGCCTCACTTGGACCCTAAGAAAAAGAATACGCCCATAGCCAGTGAAGGTAAGTTATCATTGACATATCAGCTAGTATATTTGAACAATCATGTGTTTTAGATTCAGATCATTCGCGTCACCCCAGAGGCAGATTCAGCAATAGAGACAGACTGTAGCTGGGAGAGCAGTCTGTGGTTAAGAAGAGAAGGCAATGGTGTACGTCTGCTATACTTAATTGACTTCATAGCTAACTAATATTACATCTAGCTAATAGAGTCAAGGATGAGTCGCAAGATGAAATGGCTGTCAGGCGTCGCAGAAGGGGGGGCCAATAAAGGTTGAAGTCAGACCACCTACTACCCTTGCATCTTTAAAAAAAGATGGATGCGGACCTTTGGTGGATCTTGCTCATCAACTGCTGAGAGTAAAAATTGCCCTGGAGAACGCCTTTCCTGGTCCTTCTGTAGATGTCCAGGACGCCTTTGCCTGGAACTGTATCAAGGAGGCTGGTAAAGAATCAGGCTCCCCCAATGAAGGTTATGTTTGATCGCATTAGTGAAGATGATACACTCAAAGGCAGGGCATTGGCATATGTAAGTTCACTACTTTTTTATGAATACTTACTGACGCTGTTCTTAGGTATGGTCAGGTGCATCTCAGTTAAGGGGGAGTTGGCTAGGAAGGCTAGAGAGAATGTGATTTTCATGTTGCAGCATTTACATCCCAGGAAATAGGTGATGTCTTTTCAGGTTATATATTTTTAAATCTAATCTCAACATTGTCTTCCTTCCTCAGCCAGACATAGCTAATTGGGTATTATCTACAAGAAAGGAGCCGTTCCTTAGTGGTGAGATGGACATTAAAGTACGCCATCTACTTCTTACCTTTGTATATGTATACTGACTAGACGTGTATTCAGGCCAAGACCTTCAACAAGAACCTTCCTTTCCGCACACACCTCATCAAGCAACTTCTCATGGCCAATTTTTTCAGGGCGCTGGTGCTGAAGGATTGCTTTACAAGGAAGAATTTCAAAAGCTTCCTGATAATCTTATTGCGCTTTTGGCAGCTTCAGTAAGTTTTATTATTCAATAATATTTAATACTAACCTTAACGCATCTTCAGATAGAGTGTGCATACAAAGGCATGCTCAAGGTAACCAGTTGTAGTAGAGTTCAAGGAACCAGTGTTTAACCAAGGTGCATATATATTTTACTTTTTTGGATATTTTTGGTTATATTACTGAACGTCATACATAGACATCGTACTACTTGTCTAAACTCACTGAGTATAGCCTTAAAGACTCCAGGCTATATGAAGAAATTGAGAGATGATCTGTGGACTGATATTGGGGTACGGTGTTTGGCGGTTTAAAAATCATATGATCTTGTTACTAACACTATGATAGAGAGGCTTGTCCGTTTCCAGCTTAGAGAAGAGGGAGGCGACAGTGATGAATCTGATGTTGATTTTGATGCAATGGAGGAGTATGCTAGGCCAATGTCTGGTGTAGCAAATGTTGATGATGCTGTCGTCAACTGATATACTAGATTTTGTAAAATAATATTTGACAAATGTATCATCTGGATGACGCAATGAATTGATTGAGATATGGAGCTATATAGAAATGTCATAGGTCTGTATAACATCATATATCAAGAGGATACAGAAGATATAAGGGTCAATGTAGCCTGTATAGATGGTTATAGTCATACAAATGATCCTATTATGATGAATATAATTTTTAGACAGACTATATGGTGCTATACCCCACTATAACGTGCTCTACAGGCCTATATAATTGGGGACTTAGCTATGGGGCTATAGGTCCCATATGGTCTATGGGGGGCTATAGGGCACTATACTGGGCTATATAGAGTTAGCATATTTTCCTGATGATTCTTCATGGAACCTTACTAAGTGGGGTAGGTCGGACTGATGGAGATGGCCCCAGAATGGGGTTTAGGCAAATGCCAATCATGTTGCATCGAGCACAAAGGAGATGGGGCCAGGAACACGACGTGATACATTAGATGATCATTTCGGTAACTGGAATTGGAAAAAGACAACAGCATTTGGTGAGTTCATCATCGAGTATTGCATTTCACTTACTGATACTTCAGACTCTCAAGGCCATACATTGAAGTGCAAGATGGAAGATGCTGTAAAGTGGGAACAGGAGCACCATGTTGCCTTGTACGACCTGGATGGAACTGTTCAGCCTGTGCTGCTGAACAAGTGGGGAATCGAATTCAAGATGTGGGAGGAGGGACAACATGCCCAAATCCTTTTGAAAGCAAGCTTACTCGTGTGCCACTGCCTATTCACTCTACAAACTTGTTGCTGATCACCTTCTATCTATGTAGCCATCACGCAGGCCGCGGTGAGGTCACAGCTTGCAGAAGTGGAAGCACAAGAGTTGCAAGCAGGGATAAACCACTCCACTCAACCATGATGTCTCACCCAGTGTCCTTATTAGTGGTGGGATCAAATTAGAAGATTGTGCAGTATGTAACATCTCTCTTTCAATTTGTATTCATTGTTCAAATATTATGACAGACAATGGCTCAAGCGCAACATTTCAGACCTCTCACTTCATCCCCACAGACAAGCAAAGAGAGGGCATTGTTCATAGAACCAATGCGCTACAAAGACACATTGATTCCTGGACCCGCTGTGGTGTTTAAACTCAGGCTAGCCTTGCAGAACCCCTTTTTGCTATAGTGGTCAAGCATACCAGAAGTCCACATCACATCCATCCATCACTTCCTTGCAAAGCCTCGACTCACCTGACCCTTCCATATTGCAGCAGACTATGTCTGGCTTGGTCGACATGGACCCGTTGCCTTGGCTGCTCACAGATAGCCAGGGTTACCCATACCATCCCTTACCTGCCATCTCGGTCATCGCGCACTTCAGCCAACCATCCCGTCCTGTCAATACCAAATTCTTCCATGTCCTGCCCGTGTCCGCCCATCTCAATTGGTGCATTTTAAGCTTATTTTACCATTAGTGAATGAACAGCAGGTGTTATTACATGTATTCCCATGGCCACAGCACTCGCAAGCCTTATTACATATTGACTCGAATACCCTGCGTTTTGCTACTACTCTCACCTGTGCGATCCCGGACATTCACGTAGTTAGATAAATAGGACTCAAGTCTCGTATGGTTTCTTACTTCCCTTTTCCGGACATACCTGCTACCATTGTAGGAGTCACCTTAGTTAGTCTTTGATTGTGCAATTGATCCCCTTGCTCCTTATCATCGGATGTGCCTTGACCGCTCTAAGTGCACGCTATCTAAAGGTTTCTATACCTAGGCCTTTGTGAGATCTGGACCGCTACCGGTAGTCTTGCCTCGGCAACCTATACCTAGTCATGCCTCGTCATACCTAGTTATACCTGGACTCTCCTTACCTCAGCCTAGCCTTACCTGCCACTCCCATCAGCATCAGACTCCTCTACTTGTATCGGGTATCTTGCATCAGTGTTCATCATCAGTATCTTGCATCAGTGTTCCTCATCAGTGTCTCACATCAGGTGTACCATCAGTATCCCGCATCGCATTGGACATCCTCGGACTCGGACCTTTGGTCGGTCAGAACATCTCAGGTCTTAGATCTTAACTCCTTCCCTTCTCTTCCCTCGCACTATTAGAAGGAAGTGCTTCAATAGCAGTCCCCTTGGGCCGACGTACTGCACTCGCACCCATTAGGATTTAGTAGGTTTGTTGGTATAGCTAGCTGACTACTATTTCTTTCACCACACCACTCATCAGAACCCTATTTATACTGCTGCAACAATGCAGGCAGCTGCAAGCCACATAGAAGCATCAAATGAACAGCATTATTTTAAGGTCACAGGAGCCATCCATGATCAGATCTTCCAGCACTTAAAAGAACTCATGGTAGGCATTGTGTTTACAAAAGATGCATTGGCATTGTCTGCTGTCAACAAAAAGTGCATTGTAACATCAATGATTTGAAAAGCAGCACCTAAGTTTCCAGGACTTGATGGTACATTAAGTCTTTCAATGATTTATTAACTGACAGACCAATAGGAATACCATGCTGGAAAAATCAAAGCAAGGACATTACAACAATATGGCTGAGGGTGATTGTCATGCACACAGTCCTCACAACCTTGACTCGAGAAGGTGTCATCATGGCATACACACTTTTCCCTCCACAGGGTAGCCAGATGCCCCCCGAGGCCTTTTGTTCTGATCATGTCAGACGTCTCATTTGAGACAACATTTTTATGCATGTATATTCATTTAATGTGGTATTGTTTTTTTTGTTCACCTCAACTCATGTGCTTATAAGTTTTCAATTAGGATGGGACACTGACCATTCATGCAAAGTTCCAAAACCCCTTCATCCTCTACTTCATCGTGAAACTGATCTGGAATACACACTTCTAACCAGACAACTTATTCACAATGCCATGCAAACAGCTGCACTACACGATGGGATTAGCTGGCACCATAACAAAATGTGCACTGTTGGAACAGGGACATGAGACACTCAGTGCCACACCTAGGTTATTTCCAGGGGCAAACTCCACTGCATTTGAGGCTATCTGCACAGACATGGATAGCCTCAGTGTTGAGGAGAAAGCTGACTTGGACCAATGGAAGGATCACATAGTCGGTTGTGGGGTCTCTCAGCAGTGTGTTAGAGTTGAGCTGTCAGATTTTGACTTAGACCCAGACTCGGACCCAGACTTGGATATCACCAATGACATATAATTCATGATACTTATTTCACTTACTTAAGTGCCATCCAGAATAACATTTGTCTCAATTAAACCAAGATAAGTGTTTATGAACACTATCCTGAGCTACACCAAATATGGTGTGAAAGAGTAATAGCAACTAGGCTGTTAGAAACTAGCGCTACTTATCCAAATAGGCGCGAGTGTAATCTTCGACCCAAGAGGACTGCTATTGAAGCAACTCCCTGCTAATAAGCAAGGGAAGCGATAGCGCAAAGGGCTTAAAACCTATAGCGACCTAAGACCAAAAAACTAATGAATAGCATTGTAGCAATCAGCTATAAGTGAGTTCTGACAGAGAAATGTGCATATAAGTGAGAGGCGCTATGCAAGTTGTTTTATGTGATAGCGCTATGCGACGTCTGACTAGCGACAGCAAGAAGAAATCAAAGGGAGCGAGAGCAGAAAGTAAGATAAGACAGTGCAAGTGAAATGCCTGGTAGCAACTAGATTGTAGCACGACTACCGATAGCGATCCCGATGTTGTGAAAGTCAAACTTAAGAGGGATCCTTAGCGATACGCACTTAAAGCAAGTCAAGCGATACGCGATCAAAGAGATTGGCAAGAGCGGAATTGATTGCACCAAGACTAAGATATAGCGACTAAGGTGACTCTGACACACCAGCAAAGGTCCGGGGAAGGGAAGTAAAGTACTGTATGTGCAATGGGTCATTTTATCATACTGTGTAAAGGTTTGGAATTGCATAGGCATGATGTAGCAACAGGTAATAAGACATGCAGCACTGTGGAACACGAGGATACATGTAATAAGACCTGCGACTGATCAGTAGTGACACTTAAGGACTAATAACGCACCAGCGGAGGTAGGTGGACATAGGTGGGACATGGGAGGACGGAATACCTAGGCATTGGACCAGGTAGCGCACTATGGGAGAAAAGTGGTTCCAAAGTGGATAGCTTGGGAGTTGATAGCGCTGGTGACTAGTGCTTTACTCTTTTCCTCTAGGCAAGGCAAAATATGCCTATGACACTCATGTGCCTAGCGCTGGTATGATTGTCACATTGGGTTTCACTGGGATATAGAGAAGCGCATTGTCTCTCTTAGCATTCCAAAAGTCAGGAAATTCCTTCTGCCCATTCATAACTGGCGGAAGCAAGAGTATCATGTACTACAAGATTTACAAGCACTGTATGGCAAGATTCTGCATGCCTGTGAGGTGGTCAAGCATGGCCGGGCATATCTCACGTCCCTAGAAAGCATGCTTAGTATCTGCGCTAAGAAACCCTATCTGCCGCATTGTCCTATTTGGGATATAGAGAGCGACCTCTTATGGTGGTCAGACCTTCTACAAAATGGTGGCGCCATTAGACCAATACATCTCCCAGTACCCTACTCTGATCCTCGCGCATTCTCAGATGCTAGCTCCACCATCAGTATAGCTATAGTGATAGGACAATGCTGGAGAGCCTGGAGATTGATTCCAGGGTGGCAGACAAAGAATGGACAAAGAGACATCACATGGGCAGAGGCCATTGGCTTTGAGCTTCTCATTTGATCCCTTACTTCTCTCCCAGAACTCGGTAATGCACTCACCGTCTTTGGAGACAACATGGGAGTGGTTGAAGGATGTGGAAAGGGAGAAGTCACAACAAAGAAGTCAATGTTGTATTCAGAAGAATACACGAGCACTTACGGTCTCTACCAAGCATTTCAAAATCCGGACTTCCTATGTTGCTGTTAAGACCGTACTCAAGAAGTATCGGATCCAAAGGGCTTTGGCCTCAGCTTGTGCGCTGTGCCCCTTTCCCGAGTCTTGCCCCTTATTTCAGAGTGCTAGAGTATCGCGTCTAGTGAGACGGATAAGTATCGTAACGGATCCATTAAGGCTTCCGGATATTGAATGTATAGAGTAACAGCTAATCCGGATCGGATCCGAACTAGAAACTAACAGGTGAAGACTGTCTGAAGACAGAGACGGATATATAGACTATAGGAATCAATCCTAAGTCTCGGATTAGACAAGAGTATCGTACTCAAGTCCGGATGGATAACGGAGGGACTTAGCATCCAGACAGAATGAGTGCAATCTAAGATGATATTCGAACTGATCTACTACAGCGCATGTACAAGGGTTTATATACTACGGATAACTAACGGAATGATCAATAAGCAAGGATGCGAGGCTATGTACAAAGTATAAGCAAAGTATGTGTACAGCATATTGGTAAGTCGGATGGATAACGAATCATAACCGGGAATGAAGTATAAGCTAAAGCAGATCAGTAAGTGTAGTGGATCAGTAAGCATAACGGAAGTAAAGGATAACCGGTATACCGGTGTACAGGAATGCCGAAAGGAGATGAACGATAGTTAGAGTTATATGAACAGGACATGAAATAAGGATCAGATTGGATCTGTGGACTGGACGACGGATATGTCCATCGGATCTGGATCAGATCTGTACCCGGGAATATGGTATATGACAGTTGCCAGCGAATACAACCCAGCCGACGGTCCATCGAGAGGCATAGACCCTCCCACCCCTACCGAACTTGAGCTTCTGCACAATGGGAGTTACCCCCCTGCTGCCCCAAAAATTGTCAATAGAGCCCTACTCAGAGCTCAAGGAGCCGAACAAGAAAGAACCTGCAGGAGGGAAGAAGATGCACTGCTCGATGAAACCCTCCATGACCTCTCAGAATAGCAGACACCCTCGTTTTGAATCATCACTCTCTAGCAACGCATCTTCTCCATCCTCTACCCCGCAGAGATACAAACCCAGCCTTACACCCATGCCCTCTCCCCTCCAGCCTCACTGTCTAGCTCATGACCAAATGCACCTCTGGTTACCACCAGGCGAAAGCCTATGGAAAGTCATCTCCTCAGGCAACGAGAACAACTTCATTATATCCAACGACCAGCTCAATCGCATACTGGAAGTCATGGGCTCCTCCTGGGCACCTTCCACCAAGGAAACCTATGGAGCAGGCCTGTAGTTTTTCAAGTTTTCTGCGACACTCACAGAATTCCAGAAGAAAAGAGATGTCCAATCTCTCCCAACCTGCTCCTAACCTTTCTGTCGAGCTGTGCAGGCTCTTATTCTGGCTCCCTACTAGCTAACTATGTCGTGGGCATCAAAGCCTGGCACCTCTTGCATGGCCAACCTTGGCTAATAGACGCCAAAGAGCTCAAAGCCACATTAAGCGGGTGCCATGGCTCTCACTCAAGCTTCATCCAAACACGACAAATGCATTCCCTTTACTCCTAATATCATAATCAGTATATGCGAACACCTAGACCTTAACAACCCCAAAGATGCAGCCATTTTCGCGTGTATCACGACAACGTTCTATGTGATCACCTGCCTAGGAGAGTTCACAGTTCCCTCCCTGAAACACTTTGATCCAGCAAGGCACATAACACAAGCAAATGTCACGCAGAAAACAGACTGCAACAACCTGCCAGTCACATCATTTTTCCTTCCCAGCATGAAATCATCTCCCATACAAGGAGAAGAGACTTACTGGTTGGCTCAAGAAGGCCTGTCAGACCCAAAAGCCACCATAGAGAATCATTTCAGAGCAAATCCAGCAGACACCTCAGCTCACCTCTTTGCCTGGAAACACCCCAAAGGCCTTCGCCCACTTTCAAAGAAAGAGCTAACCAAACGCATCAGCCAAATCTCCTCTATAACCAACCTGCCCAACCTCAAAGGCCACAGCATCTGCATTGGAGGCACGCTGGAGTATCTCCTTCAAGGAGTTCCTTTCAACGTTGTCAAGGCAATGGGACGATGTTCAAGTGACGCATTCACCATCTACCTCCGGGAACACACTATAGTGATTGCACCTTACATACAAGTATCACCAGTGTTAGAACCATTCATGCACATCACAATGCCGCCAGTGCATTAATCAACTCTAGTGAGCACACCTCCTTCTTCCTGGGGCTACAAGCTGCACTGTACGTGTCGCTGCACTCCTAACACTCTGGGACTCACAGCTCACCTTTTGCACCCAGGTTTCGCGTCAACGTTTTGGGCCGGAAAACCCTGCGGGTTTTCACCCCATAAACTCTCGCATATTGTATCATTTGTGTATAGACACATACCACATACTCATCTCACTCTTGTTTCCCCATTTCGGTCACCTTAGTGTCGAAACACATAGACATACATTACATCTCAATGGACAACATGGTGGCAGACATTCTCACAAAACCATTAATCCATGACAAGCATTGGAAGTTTACCAAGGCCATGGGTCTGCAACTTCACTTGAATGGGAGTGACAAAACCAGATGAGTTCACTCTTGCATGCACACTTACTTTGCATCACACACTCTATGTCTTGAGTCATTCAGTATGTGTGCACTTCTTTGCACTTCATCATGCTTCATTGCACTTTCTCATTACTGTGCGTGCACTGGTGTGCATGTGCTTGAGCATGCCTTGGAAGTGCTCGGATGTACACATAATAGCAGAGATGTTAGGGGTATCTTAAGTGAGCCTCATGGCGTCTTAGTGAGCTCATTCCTATCATAATTGTATGTTGCTCAAAGGAGCCAAGTTTCTCTGGGGCCTACCCAATGATAATGTTCGTGATCTGACATCTGCAGCATTTTTCAGTGTTCATGATCTCACTAGGATGATGAGGCCAACTTTGCTCACAATGCTCTTTATCGGATTGTCGACACATTTTACTATGGTCGAAGTCGCAAGCTTCTTGGGCTAACAGCGGAATTTGAGAAGAGCATCCCATATGGCACTCTGATTCTCATTGTCACAGTGGTATGGATTCACCACATGAGTTTGCTACTACTGACTATATATTAGATTAAGTGTGTGCTTCATTGCCTTTCTCAATATGGTCATCTTCACAACATCCAAGACTTCACAGGGAATATTTACCGTCAAGATTACCAGAAGTTTTTGATTATGTTAGAGAAGGTCTTGGATAACGAGAGGGCCGGCGCCAAGCTTGACCAGCAGCTGGCTAAGTGGGCATCTGCTTCAAGGAAAGTCATTCTTTGAGTAGGGATTCATTCCTGACATTGAGTGTTAGGCATGAAATTCAAGATGAGCACACTATCATTGATGATGACAACGACGAATTTGCCATCACACCAATGGACGACTACTAGCTGCCACACGTGTAGTTTCTGCTCTTATTTTTCTTTACCTTACTCGCTTACATATAATTATCTCAGCCTAGGGATTGCATGCATTTCTTTTGGAGTCATCTGTTCATTCTCATCAATGACCACATACTGCAGTCACTTTACCCTTGATAAATACATACAACTAATGTTGAAATATCCATGTTCTACACATGCCAGCCAATGTGGGCCCATCAATGTATTGTTGTGATACATACAGGTGGGCCCATGCCAAGTATGTATGTGATACCAACAGTGGGCCCATAGTATGTGGTATAGTAGATAAGTGTACACTTTCCTATTGCATTTGGTAGGTATTGTGTGGTAGGTAGTGTATGAAATATGTGCCTGATATGAACAGGTCGGCCGAGTGAGCAGTGGTACTGATATATACAGATGGGCCGACACCCCTATGTCAAGTGTGTATGTGATACCAACAGTGGGCCCATAGTGTGGTATAGTAGATAAGTGTACACTTTCCTATTGCATTTGATAGGTATTGTGTGGTAGGTAGTGTATGAAATATGTGCCCGATATAAACAGGTCGGCCGAGTGGGCAGTGGTACCGATATATACAAATGGGCCGACACCCAAAGCATATAGATGTGTCATGGACATTGCTCTGTCAATGGATCGGTCTTACAAATATACTTGCCCATGATAGACTCGGGAAGTCGGTCAATCAGTCAGTCAAATATGTGAACATTGGGTCTGTCCCCTGAGCCACTTGTGCAAAATATACTTGTCAGGACTACGTCGGTCAAGTATGAGGCAGTCGGTCAATAGCTCGGTCATATGTGATGTATGGGAGACATGGTCGGTGGTAATGGAATGGCTTACAGAATATACTGGCCCCATGATAGATGAGGTGGTTGGTTGGTTGGTTGGTTGGTTGGTCGGTCAAAACATGTCAGGTCAAATATGATGTATCATGGACTAGCTTACAATATATACCTCTGTGAAGATAGACAGGGTGATCGGTCAATATCTTGGTCATATGTGATGTATGAGAGACATGGTCGGTGGTAATGGCCTCATGATAGATGAGGGGGTCGGTCGTTTGGTTGGTCAAAACATGTCGGGTCAAATATGATGCATCATGTACTAGCTTACAACATATACCTCTGTGACGATAGACAGGATAGTTGGTCAATAGCTCAGTCATATGCAATGTAAGAGACACGGTCGGTCAAATATATGGTCGGTCAAATACAATCTATTACCGAAGCGCAATTGCTACTTGGAATCACACAATCAATCACATTCAATCCAGGCCAAATCAACTTCATTCAATTCATGTATACAACAGTATCTAACTAACTGATGTGTGCTACATAAGGGTATATTTGCATCAAGGGAGGGAGGAAGTAGTAGAAGCAGGGCATGAAACACTCAAATCACATTGGATGGGGGGAGCAGATGAAGGACTGGCCTGCACCAACTCAGATGATGGTTGCCCACTGGTGAATGTCCTGCCTTGCACATCAGGGCGACCGAATGGGCGAGATGCTGAGGGTTGACCGACGGCAACAGAATCAGCATTGGGAGCAACCGAAGGGCCGAACACACCAGTCAAGTATCTGATGCCCATGTCTGTGGCCGTGGAAGCACCGGTCGGGCCAATCGCTGGTGGTGGGAAGGATGTGTTCAGGACCGAGTGTTCCTGCCTCATTTTCTTTACCATGTTGGCAAGACCATTTACCACATCCACCATGGCATTGAAGCTCAGTTGGACGTCGGAAAACTCGGCCCGCATAGAGGAGATGCGGGAGTCGAAGTCATGCTCCATCGCATTCACCCTAGCGAGGGTGTTGCGGTCGGCCATTTCCATGGCAGTGACTCTAACCGCCAGAGAGACCACACGATCGTGGATAGTCGGTTTGGCTGACGAGGTGGTGGGTTTGGCCGCAGGAGCAGGTGGTGGTGGTGGTGGTAGGATGGGGGTGTCGTCAGTGACCTCCTGCCAATGGTCAGCAGGAAAGTCTTTCGCCGACGCCATGGCTGCCGGCCGATCGACGGTCTCACTTGGCATCACCGCAGCGACATCAGTCTTCTGCTCGGTATCGGCTGCATGAGACATGGTGACGTCTTCATCAGCCTCGACAGCGACATCTAAAATCGAGGTCAATATTGTTTACCTTAACAAAAAAACAGGTGACTCACCCTCATCATCCATGGCGTCCTCAGATTCTACCACAGGTGGTGGTAGACGTGCATGGGAGGCCGCCCTTGTCGCCCTGGGCTGCGGTTTGGATGTGGAGGCGAGTGGGGCCTTTGACCGAGGACGTGATGACCGCACCGGCTCGGCCATTTGTGGAAGCTTGTTAGGTACCAGTCGGTCACACTTCACCTTCATCTCATAGCACCTGGCACAGGACTTGGTGATTTGGCCCTTGCGACCAAGGGCAGCGAGACATTCGAACTGGGCAGAACACCTCTTACATGGTGGATCATACTAATTAATTGTTAGTAATCAGTGATGTATAGAACCGGCGAAACTCACCACATCACCCTCGGCGATCGTCACAGCCCGTTCCTTCTCCTTTCCCTTACCCTTCGGCGTCGGTCGGCCAATGCGCTCCTTGGTGTCGGCCTGGACATCTCTGAGTGGTGATGACCGAGGGGACGAGGTGAATCTCACCTGCTTCACCTTCTTGGCTGGGGCTGGAGTCTGAGGCACCGCCACCTTAGATGGCTAAGGTGCTGTGAGTGATAGAGTAGGAAAAAAACGAATTAGAGGCGCACCTTTACCACGATGATGGTCCCGCCCGGCTGGCCATCATCATCTTCAGTGTCAGAGATGATGGCCTTCGACACGATCCTATGCTTCTTGCGTGAGACATCGCCCGACTCACCAGACTCATCCTCCCTGGCTCGCTGAGTCCCCCGAACCAGCTGCTTCCCCTTATCGGCTGTCAGCTTGGCAGCCTCGACGGGAAGTGAGTTGATCGGTGGGACTGACATCACCTTGGGAGCTGGGGGCAGGACTGGGACTGGGACTGGGAGTGGGGTTGGCACTGGCGCCAGTGCAGGTGCAGCTATCACATGTTAGCAAAAATGGTGCATTGAAAAAGAGCAAGACTCACCAAGCCCTTGTGTCTTGGGGAAGAAGGGGTGTGATTCCATGCAGGAATCATCCACCCGCACACATTCCCATTGGGGGACCTGACCGATGTTCATTGTCGCCCGAACCTCGGCGGCTGCAGAGAGCAGCAACGGCGGAACGACCAACGCATTCCTGCCATGTTGCTGGAGTGCTTGTGACTTGAGAGAGGTGAGTATCTTGCAAAGAAAGAAAGAAAGAAAGAACGACTTACTACTAGCTTGGCAACTTCATGTGCCCAGTCAACCACCACCCGGCCATCTGATTGAAACAGTTTGATCCGGTTGAGGTGTGAACGCAATGATTTGTCGGCGACCGACAAGGCATCGTTGGATTGTTGGGCAGACATGATGATTATGATGGTGGTGGTGGTGTGGTGATGATGATGATGATGATGATGATGATGAGGGATGTCGACACAGTTATATAGGGAACGACTAGCTGTGGCCTTTGATGTGGACTTAGCAACAGTCAATGCAAATTGAAGTTGTGCCACCGCCGTGATTAGCCGAAATGATTAGCCGAAATGAAATGTGGACACAACAATTGACACTGCCGGGTTTCGCCGACTTGTGGCCTCGGTGGTCTAGTCATCCATTGTCGTATATATACTCCCAACTACAACCATTGCAAGTACATGGATTCTCGTGAAAATATCACTGACAAAGCTAGGAGACTACAGGGCGAGCAGATCAAAACCAACAGCAATTTCTTTCTCACATGGGACCAGTGGGTGCCACCAAAGTTAGGCCCGACTCAATCATTTCCACAGGAAAACCTTCCTGTTGGGTTCAAATACTCATTTCGGCCAAACCGTTCGCCACCAACTTGCGCACCCAACAACAACGGGACGAAAGTCACACCATCAACCATGCCAGTCAGGAAGGAAACTGCCGATGCACTTGCAAAAAAAACATTTTGGCAAAGAAGGTAAGTGTCTTATGATATTGACTCGACATTTATTAATATTTGACAATTTAGTTTTTGATACATGTATGTGCTGGAGCACTGAAGCTGCGCCTGTTAAGACCGTACTCAAGTAGTATCGGATCTGAAGGGCTTCGGCCTCAGCTCGTGCGCTGTGCCCCTTTCCCGAGTCTTGCCCCTTATTTCAGAGAGCTAAAGTATCGCGTGTATAGAGTAACGGCCAATCCGGATCGGATCCGGACTAGAAACTAAACGGGTGAGGACTGTCCGAAGACAGAGGCGGATATGTAGACTATAGGAATCTATCCTAAGTCTCGGAGTAGACAAGAGTAGCGTACTCAAGTCCGGATGGATAACGGAGGGACTCAGAGTCCAGACGGAATGAGTGCAATCTAGATGATATTCGAACTGATCTACTACAGCGCATATACAAAGGTTTATATACTACGGATAGCTAACGGAATGATCAATAAGCAAAGGTGCGAGGCTATGTAGGAAAGTATAAGCAAAGTCTAAGTGGAGCGTATTGGTAAGTTGGATGGATCACGAATCATGAACCGGGAATGAAGTACAAGTAAAAGCGGATTCGTAAGTGTAGCGGATCAGTAAGCAAAGCGGAAGTAAGCAAAGCGGAAGTAAAGGATAACCGGTATACCGTGTACAGGAATACCGAAAGGAGATGAACGATAGTTAGAGTTATATGAACAGGAAATGAAATAAGGAATCAAAGCGATCTGTGGACCGACGACGGATATGTTCATCGGATCTGGATCGGATCTGAGATCCAGATCATCGGATCTGTAACCGATATGGTATATGACAGCGCCGAGACATCGGTGGAAACACCGACCGCCTCATCATCAGCCGAACCCCAGTACAGCGGTCAAAGTAAGTTCATGTCATCTTCTCTATTCTCAATCTCATGGACATGTACTAATACATCGTTATTCAAGTGTTTGAGATG